GATGTCTGTGTGTCTGTCTTTCTCTCTCTGCACCTCTCCACCTCTGTCCCTGTCTCTACCCCACTGATGTTTCTTTGCCTCTTCCCCTATTCCCACCTTGCTGTCTTCTTCTCCTCCTCCTCCTCCTCCTCCTCCTCCACCTCCTCCTTCTCCTCCTCCTCCCTGCCAAGCCCCATGCCCTCCCTCACAGCCCTACTGCCAGTGCTCCCACTCAGGTTTTCCCCAGTCCCGATCTCCCCATCCTTAGGAGCCAAGAAAACCAACTTCGGGCCCACCAGTGGATGCAGAAGCTACACGACCAACTTGAGCTGCAGCACTTCCTCCGAGACTGCCACGAGGTAGGAATTCCAGCTGTGCTGGGCACAGTGACTTCTTTCCTAGGGAGGAAAGTGCTCCGGGGCAGAGGGGCGGTGGGGGTGGGGACGCCCCGTCTAAGTGGGTCGCCAGGCGACGTTCACGCCAAGCCACCGGGAGGCACATGCGGAGCCCGGCTTCCGTGCGCATGCTCCGTAGGTTCCTCCCCCGCCAACGCGGGCTTTGGGGAAGGAGGGAGGGATCCCGGGAGCCCCTGGCAACGGTGCGCGCGTCCGCGCATTCCGGTCCCGCGGGATTGTGAGCCGATCTCACCTTTCCTTTCCTCTGGTGATTTGCAAGAAGCGCGCTGCTGCCTGCAGGAGAGAGGAGCGAGAGACTGGAGGGGGTGCGGGGAGCGTGAGTGGACCAGCAGCCCGGAGCGCAACTTCGGGCACAGATGGTCCAGAAACAAGCCTTTGCCCCTTTAAAAGCGTCCAAGAGTCAAGCTCTGTCCCCTTAGAGATGATCTATACACCCATAAGGATCGCCCCAAATCCGATCCCTTCTCCATTCATTTGAGAAGGTTCAGGAGTCACACTGCTTCCCCCTCCGTCCCCTGCATCCCATAGAAACGTTCTGGATTCTGACCACATTAGAGATGGCCAGAGATGGCCCCATATAGAGATGGTTCCGGCCTCATCCATCTACCTGACCCAGAATCATTGCCCTCCCCCCACATGATGATCCAGTACCTAAGTTTCCCCAACCAAGGGCGGTTCAGGAGCTAGGCCCTGATCCCCCCATTGAAGACGGTTAAACTGTTCTCTCACGTTTGAAACCCCACTCCCACATAACTGAAGCTTATTA